CAAGTCACTAGGCTGTTCACCGTGTCTAGTAAAAGGAGCCTTAGTCATTTTTTCCAATAAACAAGATTCAGATTTCTCATATGATTCATGATCAAATGAGCTCAAATGTCCATCACTATGAAGCTTTTGAATGCGTTAGTCATTTATATGGCCTAAAAGACAATGCCAAAGAAACATAGGATTAGAGTCTTTTGTCTTTAATCTTTTAGTACTAATGTTATAGATATGCACACTTTGGTCTAGAATATAAAGCCCATTCTCCAATGAACCGCTACCATAAATAATACCACGATCAAATAAACAACACTTGTCTTTAATTGAAGAATGAAATCCATCCAAATCTAAACAAGGAATATAAATAATATTTCTGCTTATAGCAGGTACGTAGTAGTAATTATTAATAACTAAAACCATGCCCGCCCGAAGGCAAAGACAAATGAAATGTTCCTATAGCTAATGCAGTAACTCTTGCTCCATTTCCCACACGCAGGTCCACTTGTCCTTTCTCNAAAGTTCTACTGTTGCTTAGACCATGCATATTCGTACAAATATGAGCACCACAACCGGTATCCAATACCCAAGAAGTAGAACCAGANGTAGNAACATTTACTTCTNTNACATAAATACCTTTANAAGAAGTCTCGAAGGTCTTCTTCTGTTTCAGATCTTCCAAGTATTTCTTGCAGCTTTTCTTCCAATGCCCAGAACCATTACAATAATGGCACTTGTCTTCACTAGAAGGACCAGGTTTGAACTTAGGAGGAGGTCAGGCTTGCCCAGATGCTTAACCCAGCTTGCCTTACCATACCATTTCCTTTATTCTTACTAGGTTTCTTAAACTTTTTACCCCCTTGTACCATAAGTACATACGAGGTGTTCTTCTTAATGTTTGGCTCAACAGTCTTGAGCATTCCATTCAGCTCAGTCAAAGTCTTTGTCAAGTTGTTCATGTTGTAGCTCATAACAAACTGACCATAACTTGACAGCAATGACTACAGGATGATGTCAGTAGCCAACTCTTGGCTAATAGGAGAATCCAGTTTAGCCAGGCTATCAATATAACCCATCATCTTAACGATATGTGGGCTAACTGGACTTCCTTTAGGCAGCTTGCACTCAATGAGAGCCTTAACGGTCTNGTATCTCTCANTTCNTGCNTGCTCCTGAAACATNCCTTTCAGGCTAGTGATCATGTCAATTGGCGAATCCACGTTCTCATATTGCTTTTGCAAGTCTGAGTTCATGGTAGCCAACATAAGACAACACACATCAACCCTGTCAGCAAATTGCTTATCATAAGTAGTCCTCTTTGCATGTTGAACATTGGTCTTAGGTTTTGTAGGGAGATTCTTTTCCAGGACATAGTCCTTCTTCTCCTGTTTGAGAACAATTCTCAGGTTTCGATACCATTCGAGGAAGTTTGATCCACTCAGCTTGTCCTTCTCAAGGACGGACCACAATGAAAATGAACTATGAGGGGTTGACATAGTTGTTGGAAAGAAGAGTAAAGACTACTATGATGTTTATTAATTCGAGAATTCTCAACAATTAAAAAAACTCACATTATATTCAAAACAATGTTATTGTCAAGATGAATATAATGATCCAAGATCCATATTTTACTAGAATTCAAGTAAATTTAGGCTCATCGCCCGAATGTCTAGCTATTTAGGTAAGCAACACACTTTGCTAATTATATTCAATATAACTCTTGGTTGTTTGATGACATCTTATGTCAATTCAACATATGTCTCTAAGTCCAAAACTATTTTATAGCCTAGTCAAGTAAACCAATCTCACTTCATATGGTAACCATTACCATCTGCCTCACTTATGTAGAAATGGACACCCTGCTTAACAGGCCCATCACACAACGAAATAAGCCAGGCCCATCAAATATTGGAAAGACATAAAAAATACTTGATACTAAATTGAGGATTTAATTTTAAACCAGTTTATATTTATTTATATTATAAATTGATATCAAATATAAAACA